GTTAATTATTCCCCTTCACAAGTCAGGATGATATAAAAATTACATGCCAAGCACCAGTCTATCATCAAATTAGTAGTAACTGATGAGAAGTAATGCCAGGAGGAATACTTGACAGTGGATAAGGCATTCTCTAAGTCCATGGATGGTAGTTTTATCAGAAGCTTGGCATGCAGGGAAAGTAAATCCATATCCAGAGTTAAGTTTCTAGTCCAGTAAGGTCAAAACGCTGCCTCTTCTATGATGGAAGTGATCGAAGGTAACCAACCTGCTTCCAGTAGCTAGCTGAACACCTCAAGGAATAGTGTTATGTTGGGGGGCTCAGTATTGTCTCTGCTTCTGGCAGATTGAGCACTCAGCAATGGTCATAGCCAGGTCAGCCTTGGTGAGTGGAAGTCCATGTTGCTGATCACATGCATTACCTCCATCCCTGCCACCATGGCCACTTTGTTCATGGGTCCATTGAACCAGGGTGGCTGGGGAAAGAAACTATTAACCACAGAATGGGCTATCCTGTCCACTTGATTATTAAAATCCTCCTTTACTGAGGTCACTCATTTATATGGGACACAGGTATCTTCAATTTTTTTTGCCCTAATTCAGAGAGGTCTACCCACCTACCTCTCCCCCAGATTTCATTGTCCAAATTTCCAATCATGTTCCTTCCACTACAATGCCACACACTTAGTATCCATTTCCACACTTGTTCCCTGGATTTCTAAGTTAGAAAACTCAGGTAGTTCTTTTGGACTGTAGCACCCCTCCTCATGGGTCACACTTTGCACTGCACTTTTAGGAGCCTGCTGGGACAGAGTCTAATGATGGGTCTAGAAACAAAAGGGGGTGGTTGTGGGGGTTTCTGAGAAGTAGCATTGTCTTGCATGGCCACTACCTCAAGGGAGGTCATTAGTTTCCTCAAGCAATGCATAGTTAATTCCATCAGATGGGAATGGAAAGGCTGATGTCACTGTGGGTGGGGATGCCACTGCCACTAGGGATGGAAAGGCCACCTCTGCTGATGAGGCTGCTTCTACTGGGAAGAAGACTCAGAATATAGGAGCTCAATGTCACAGCTACGTCAGAGCCTTCCCACTTGTCCCCATACCATCTTACAGGATCCCATTCTTTCCCAATCAATACTCTCACTTTAACATTACTGAACTATTCAGCTGAGAATTTCCCAAATCTCGTTTGAAAAATTCCATTGTTAAGTATTTTCTCTCTACTTGCATTTTTTTGTAATCAGCCAGGAGCCAAGCCACACCTTCAACTTCATTATTGTTCACAAGTTCTACTTTCCACAAAACACTAGAATGGAATGCAATTTCACCAAGTTCTTTGTCACTTTATAAAAAGAACTGCCTTCCTCCGGTTTCCAATATGTTCCTCACTTCCACCTGAGACTTCATCTGTACTGCCTTTACCATTCATCTCTATGAACATTCTGTCGATAATGTATTCTCTAAGGTTGAAGTTTTCTCTTCAGCTCTTTTCTGATATCACCAAAATCACCATTAATGTCTTTATTTTTTGCATGCATCTAAAAACTCTTCCAGCTTTTACCTATTATTCAATTCCAAAGCCACTTCTACATTTTTAGCTATTTGTTACATTAGCACCCCACTTCTGGTACCAATATCTGTCTCATTCATTTCAGTCTGCTATAACACAGTACAATAGATGGGGTGGTTTATAAACAACAGCAATTTATTTCTCACAATCCTTGAGGCTGAAGTCGACATCAGTGTGCCAGCATGGTTAGTTTCTGGCAAGAACTGTCTTCCAGAGTAAAGACTGACATTTTCTTGTATCCTCAGATGGCACAAAAATGTAAGAGAGCTCTCTGGGATCCCTTTTACAAGGGGACTAATCTCAATCAGGAGGGATCCACCATTGTAACTTAATTTCCTCCAAAAGGCTCCACTTCCTAATGTCATTATATTGGGGGTTAGGATGTGGACACATGAATTTCAAGGCCCAAATGGCTTCACTGGAGAATCCTACCAAACATTTGAAGAAAAATTAACAATTCAACACTACCTCTACCAGAAATGGAAAGGAAGCAATTCTGTGAAACTCATTTTATGAGGCCATAATCACCTTGATAGCAAAATGAGGCAAAGACAGTAGAATACAAGAAAACTACAAACTAGTATTCCTCATGAATATAGATACAAAGATCCTAAAAAAAAAAAAATCCTCAAAATATTAGCGCATCATAGCAATCTCAGCAAATCCAGCAATGTATTTATGTACTACATACAAAATGTACACTAAAAACAAATGGAGCTTATTCCAGTGATGTTGTCTTGATCGATATTTGAAAATTCATAAATGTAATCCATCATAACATAGCAAAAGAGAAAAATCACATTTTACTCCTATCAATTGCTGCATATTTCAAATAAATCTCAAGGAAACATAGAGGGTTCCATGGCAGTGTTTCCAGAGAGCAAAGGGTTTTCAAAGTTATAATGGGCCTGGGGTGGGGGTGGCAATCAAATATATAGTGCTGTCCTGAAAATATAGCCTCCAAATAATGATGAACCCAACTTTTATCTTTCCTGTGAAATACTAGGGCTTCTAACAATTTCAAACTCATTTTTCTACAGCAGCCTCATAGGGAACCTAATAGAGAAGAGCCTATTGATTCTTTGAGTGAACCCTAATAAAATTCATAGAAAATACAGTTTTTAGGGGTGCCTGGGTGGCTCAGTTGAAGATTGACACCACATCTTGATTTCAGCTCAGGTCATGATCTTAGTGTTGAGATGGAGCCTGGTGATGGTCTCCATGCTGATAGCACAGAGCATGCTTGTTATTCTCTCTCCTTCTCTCTCTGCCCGTCCCCTGCTTGTGTGCATGCTCTCAAAATAATAATTTTTTAAAATTAAAAAAAAAAAGAAAATACATTTTTTAAGACAATGGTACTACTTGAAGCGCTGCAAGCTTGAACCTAATGGGACAGAAATAGTACAAAGTGAAAGGGCCTTGGGATCCCAAGACATCTACAGGCTAAAAACAGTCTTAGAAAACTATTCAGCTATAAACACGGGCTACCTTCATGAAGGGGAGGAAAACGAAGGATGATTCAGGGTAGAACCAAGACCTCAGTATGCAAACATGCCACTTGGAAGCAGAAAGACACTTAAATTGGGTTCTGAATATCCCACTGAATATCACAGCAGAGAAACACTGTGAGAAACAATATACATTACATTCTTTTAAAAACGAAATCTTCAAAACCTCATGTGTATTTTACACCTAACACCATTTTAATTTGAACTAGCCACAATTCAAGTGCTCAATTTTGAGTGCTCAACATGTTGCTGGCAACTATCTTATTTGACAATGAAGGTCTAGTCCATTAATTTCCACATTTAGTTGTAGTAACTGCTTTTTAAACTCATTCTTTAAACATATGAAGTACTGTGGGACAGGCATGGTAACAGAGGTAGCAATAGGTGAACTAGATAAAATTTGGATCTTCCATCTGTATTTCCCAAATACAGTATAGGATATTGAATATCCCAATGTGCAGAACTTCGACAACACCCAGAAATTTTGATATGCAGTCATTTAAAAAAATCATTTACTTCAATTTGGTTAAAATTCCAGAGCTAATTTTATCTTTAAAATAATATTATGGAAAAATTCAAATACATAAAAGTAAAGAAAATAGCAAGAACAAAATAAAAACTATGTACTCAAGACTTATCTTACCATCACTTTAACAAGCTTATCCTTTTCTTTTGCAGGAGCACTTTTTTTTTTTATTTTTTTTAACGTTTATTTATTATTGAGAGACAGAGCACGAGCAGAGGAGGAGCAGAGAGAGAGGGAGACACAGAATCCAAAGCAGGCTCCAGGCTCCGAGCTGTCAGCAAAGAGCCCGACATCGGGCTCGAACTCACAAACTGTGAGATCATGACCTGAGCCAAAGTCAGTTGCTCAACCGACTGAGCCACCCAGGTGCCCTGCATGAGCACTTTTAAAAAGTTCCAGACATCATACCATCTTATGTGTATAAACTTATCTCTAACATTTTTATATAACTACGATGCTACCTAACAAAAACATAATTTCTTAGTATTATCTGTCAATATTCCCATTTCCCCAACTGTCATAAAAATGTCCTTTTTACATATTTGTTCAACTTGTGATCTAGTTCACTGCATTTGATTGATATACATTTCTTCAGACTCTTAATATTTAAGAGTTCCACCTCCCTTTTTTCAATGCTATTTTATTGAATTTGAAGGCAGGTCATTTCTCTTGTGGAATTACCCACATTTTAAATTTGTTTCATTGCTTCTTCTTGTGTCATGTTCTTCTTTCTGTTCTGTGATTCTTCCCTAAACTGGGAGTTAGATCTTGATGCTTAGATTCAGTTCAATATTTTTTTGGCAACATGTGTATGTCTTACTGTAACTTATTAGGGGGCACAAAATGTTTTGTCCTATTTTGAGATTAAAATTGATCAATGGGTATCTACTGGTCTTAACCTCCACTGAGAATTGTGCCTAGATCCATTATTTCATTATGTGCTGCAAAATTCTCTAATAAAGAACTTTAGCTCATCAACTTCTAATTACTCTAAAATACAGTTCAACAGGAAATGCAGGCTAAATGATTTTCTTTTCAATTATCAGTTTTTGGAATGAGATAGTACCCTAGCAACCTTCATAGATATATTATACAGATGGGAAAAATAGAGGCGATGATAGGTAAGATTAAAAGCTCTTCTATATTCACTCCTTTAAAAGAGTTTCTTTCTAGAACACATTTCCCAAAGTTTAACATAGTTTTTAATGATGAGTAAAGGCTTCTAAAAATTCATGAAATTTATCCTTTCCTTCAAAGAAAACCTAACTATTTAGGTTAGCTGTAAGCACGAAGCAAAAGGGATTCCTATATTCAAAAACTTTTCCCCTAAAATTTATTTTCTAATGCCCCTTAACACAAAATTCACAGTGGAAGGCTTTCCTAAATTATTTAGTTACATTATGAATTCGCTGATGGTAAGTAAGATGTGAATGTTGTCTAAATGCCTTTTTACATTCCTTACATTTGTATGGTTTTTCACCAGAATGAATTCTCTGATGTTGAATAAGTGATGAATGAAGTCTAAAGGCCTTTCCACATTCCTTACAGTCATAGGGTTTCTCACCAGTATGAATACTCTGATGTTGAGTAAGTTGTGATAGCAGTCTAAAAGTCTTCTCACATTCCTTACATTTATAAGGTTTCTCACCAAAATGAATACTCTGATGTTGGGTAAGTTGTGAGAACAGTCTAAAGGTCTTCCCACATTCCTTACAATCATAGGGTTTCTCTCCAATATGAATACCCTGATGTGAAATAAGTTCTGAGTAACGACGGAAGAACTTCCGACATTCCTTACATTCGTAAGGTTTCTCACCAGTATGAATTCTCTGATGGAGAGTGAGATGATAGCCACGACTAAAAGTCTTTCCACATTCTTTACAATCATAGGGTTTCTCACCAGTATGAATTCTCTGATGGAGAGTGAGTTGTTGCCGCACCCTGAAGGCCTTTCCACATTCCTTACATTCATAGGGTTTTTCACCAGTATGAAGTTTGTGATGTACTCTAAGGCCTGTACTACACAAAAAAGCCTGCCCACAGTCCTTACATTCATAACACTTCTCAGCAATATTAAGTCTCTGATGTCGTGTAAGGTGTGCATACTGTCTAAAGGTCTTCCCACATTCCTTACATTCATAGGGTTTCTCACCAGTATGAATCCTTTGATGAAGATTAAGTTGTCCTCTTACTCTAAAGGCCTTCCCACATTCCTTACATTCATAGGGCTTCTCACCAATATGAGTTCTCTGATGTACTCGAAGATCTGCACCACATGTAAAGATCTTTCCACATTTTTTACATTCAAGGAGTTTGTCAGAAGTATGAATTCTCTGATGTCGACTAAGGTGGGCACACTGTCTAAAGGCTTTTCCACATTCTTTACATTCATAGGGTTTTTCGCCAGTGTGAATTCTCTGATGGAAAGTAAGTTGTTGGCGTACTCTAAAGGCCTTCCCGCAATCCCCACATTCATAGGGTTTCTCTCTATTATGGATACTCTGATACAGAGTAAGAGAAGTGAGTTTTCTGTAAGTGGGCATTTTTTCAGAGGTGGTTTTTTTCACTTGCCGGAAATATCCCTCTTGAAGGTGTTCTTGTCCCTCAAACTTCTCATATTTATAATCTTTTCTGATAAAGGAGTTTTCAAGGCCACAACTTCTAATTCTTCCCATTATCTCCCACTGAGATAAATTCATTTCACAAATATCCTTTTCTTGAAATAACTTTTTAGTGTCATATCTGGCTTCTAAATCTGAAAGAAAACAAGATAAATACATGCTATCTTCTTATTCTAGAAAAAGCAAACAAGCATATAAAAAAACTTTATAATAGAAAATAAAGCTCAATTTCAAGTAAATGAGCTAAAAAACCTCATCAAAGTTTGAGAATCTTTAAATTTTTTAATGATTACTTTTTAATTAGAATAATGCACAAACATCTTACCATGAATAACATGGCCTTTGTTTACCATATCATCTCAAGCCACTGCCTGGTTTGCTCCCTATATTCCTATCCCACTAGCCTCCTTTCAGTTCCTAGAATATGTCACAACCTTTCCATTTCTTAGAGCTTTTCACTGACAATTTAAATTCATAGGAATTTCAACTTGCATTTTCTACATAGTTGGGTTCCTTTCATCCTTTAGATACCATGTTAAAAATCAGACCCATTCTGGGGCACCTGGGTGGCTCAGCCGGTTAGGCGGCCGACTTCAGCTCAGGTCATGATCTCGAGGTCCGTGAGTTTGAGCCCCGCGTTGGGCTCTGTGCTGACAGCTCAGAGCCTGGAGCCTGCTTCTGTTTCTGTGTCTCCCTCTCTCTCTGCCCCTCCCCCATTTGTGCTCTGTCTCTCTCTGCCTTTCAAAAATGAATAAATGTTAAAAAAAAAAATCAGACCCATGCTGACTTCATCTAATTTATATACTTTATTTTCTTTTTTTTTTTTAATTTTTTTTTTTCAACGTTTATTTATTTTTGGGACAGAGAGAGACAGAGCATGAACGGGGGAGGGGCAGAGAGAGAGGGAGACACAGAATCGGAAACAGGCTCCAGGCTCTAAGCCATCAGCCCAGAGCCTGACGCGAGGCTCGAACTCCCGGACCGCGAGATCGTGACCTGGCTGAAGTCGGACGCTTAACCAACTGCGCCACCCAGGCGCCCCTATATACTTTATTTTCTATCCCAGTAACTTGTTCCATGTTTCTTAACACTTTTTTGATTTTGTTGTTACATATTCATTACTTTTCCCATTTTTAAATTCTCTTTATTTTCTTACCTTAAATCTTCCCAAGGGCAGAAGCAACCTTTCATTTATCATTGAATAACAAACTCATAGCATATAGTAACTATTAATTATGAAATCTCATAATTGGTTAACAGTTATTGCATATGTTCCCTTGCCTCTAATCTTATACCTTATTACAGATTAAATATTTTTTATTACTTCCTATAGAGATAGGAAACAAAAGCACATCTAAGCTATCTCAGTCAAATATATAAATGAAAAATGGTGATGTCTTCACATCTGATCATCTTCCCAATTGTCTACTTTCACTTAGGTATCTCCACTACATCTGATTTTCTACCTTGCATAGTCATGAGTAAACTTTGCCTGTTTTCACAAGGTAACAAGAAGCTCATCTTTATTTCAGTTTATATATCTACACACATCTATGTTACAAACAGCCTGTTTAGTTCCTTCATGCCCTTCCCTATACTCTCCCCAGAGTCCTCAAAGCCAATGCCATTTAGATGCTACCTAGAGAGTATTTTCGTGATTTTTCAGGCATAAGAACAGTTTTATACCATACTAGCATGCTAATAAAATTCTGAGCAAAGAGATGTTTTTCTCAAATGTGTATTTCCTCAAAAAAATTCCAATTAAGAGTTCACTACTTTTCAAAATGAAAATGGTATTTTTAAAAACTGAGAATACAGGAACATTAGTTTTAATATGCCCAAACTAGAAAGAATCCATCAGAATGGCTATGCAAATTAAAACATACTGAAACAACACAATACTGTATACCAAGGAGAATGAATAATATACAAGTACATGCAACAACATGGATCAATCTCACAAACATAATGGTGAGTAAAAAGCCAGACATAAAAGAACATATACTGTATGGTTCCATTTTTATAAGTTTCAAAAAAAGTAAAATTAATCTATGGAGTTGCTAACAGTCAGGATAGTGGTTAATTTCAGTGGGGAGGAATGACTCGAAGGAGTTAGGAGGGAGCCGCTACTTCTCTCTCTCTCTTTTTTTTGTTTGAGTTTTTTATTTATTTAAGAACTCTCTACACAGAATGTGGGGCTCAAACTCAGGACCCTGAGATCAAGAGTCACATGCTCTTCCAACTGAGCCAGCCAGGCACCCCAGGAGGGAGCTTCTAATATCCCAGCAAATCTCTATTTTGCTGCCGGTCAGATGGGTGTGATCACTTCGTGAAAATTCAGTAAGCTGTTTCCTTATGATTTCTGGATTTTTTTTTTTTTTTTTTTTTTTTGGTATACATTTATGTTTCAGTAAGTTTGCTTAGAAAAGGATTACCGAAAACATTAAAAAGTAACAATGATTTAAATAGTGTAGATAAAATGTAAGCAGAGACAGGTAAATGATGATAGAAAATATCACTATCGGGGCACCTGGGTGGCTTAGTAGGTTAAGCGTCTGACTTTGGTTCAGGTAATGATCTCATGGTTCATGAGTTTGAGCCCCGCGTCAGGCTCTGTGCTGACAGCTCAGAGCCTGGAGTCTGCTTTGGGTTTTGTGTCTCCCTCTCTCTCTGTCCCTCCCCCACATGTACTCTGTCTCTCTCTAAAAGATAAATAAAACATAAAATTAAAAAATATATAGGGGCGCCTGGGTGGCGCAGTCAGTTAAGCGTCCGACTTCAGCCTGGTCACGATCTCGCGGTCCGTGAGTTCAAGCCCCGCGTCGGGCTCTGGGCTGATGGCCTGGAGCCTGTTTCCGATTCTGTGTCTCCCTCTCTCTCTGCCCCTCCCCCGTTCATGCTCTGTCTCTCTCTGTCCCAAAAATAAATAAACGTTGAAAAAAAAATTAAAAAAAATATATATATATCACTATGAAATCTGTGTGTCTTCCTCCCTCCCTCTCCCCTTAGTTCCTTCCATTCTCCCACTTTCCCTCTTCCCCTTCTCTCTGTCTCCATCTCCCTACCCCAAAAAAGCAATAAAAAATTATGGCAACTTTGTAAGAATCTTTAGGAAAAAGTCAATTTAAGTCTTCATTAAGATAAATAAGATATAGGGGCGCCTGGGTGGCGCAGTCGGTTAAGCGTCCGACTTCAACCAGGTCACGATCTCACGGTCCGTGAGTTTGAGCCCCGCGTCGGGCTCTGGGCTGATGGCTCAGAGCCTGGAGCCTGTTTCCGATTCTGTGTCTCCCTCTCTCTCTGCCCCTCGCCCGTTCATGCTCTGTCTCTCTCTGTCCCAAAAATAAATAAACGTTGAAAAAAAAAATTAAAAAAAAAAAAGATAAATAAGATATAAATGACATATTAAATGACTAGTAATTAGCTAAATAACAGTAGTAAATAAGTAGGAGGCTATAAAGGTATGACAAACGTTATAAATGGTAATTTCAAAGGATTTACTTATAAATTTAAAAAGTAAAAACCAGCAATGGAAAAGGAAAGTCATAAAAAAATTTGAAAACAGGAAAGTCATAGTTAAAATAAAAGTAAGCCAAAATATTTGTAAGAAAATGAGAAAGTGTTCACAGCATAAATGCTCACACAATTGACATAAGAAACATTAAACAATGGAATGGAAAAACAGAATAAAGGAGATGAGCAGACAGTACACAAAATGTACATAAATATACACAAACTTAAGACAAAATGTCCATATTCTCTCTCTCACACACACACACACACACACACCACAAAGTAGAACAAGTTATAAAATTTATCCTATAGAGGTGCCTGGCTGGCTCAGTTGTTGGAGCATGCAACACTTATCTCAGGGTTGTAAGTTCAAGCCCCACATTAGGTATAGAGATTACTTAATAAAATCTAAAACACACAAACACACACACACACATATCCTATAAATTTAAAGGTTTTCATTAAAAAAAAAAAATTCTGAAAGTGGATATAGTGAACCTGAGACTCTCATATATGCCCCCACCCGTTATAATACATGCCAGATTAAGACCCCGGCACGATGAAAATTCTCACCTAGGAGACTACTCTATAGTATGAACACTGAACTGTAATCTTATGATGTCTGTAAACAAAAAGTCAGCCATATTTGTTTATGCCAGTTCTTATCCTTGCAAGCTACTAAGACAATCATTTCTATAAAAACAAAGCTGAATATTTTAGGTTCTTGTTCTACTTTAAACTGAAACTAGAAATAATAGCCTATGTAATATATATATGATCTAAACAAGAAAAAATTGGCTGGACCTAGAATGAAACCAAAGGCCAAACTAGACATCCAAAAACTGGCCTATGGTAAGGAATTTTAATGTTTTGATTTTTAAGATATATGTAAAATATTTAACTATTTAAAATTAATAAACCAAACACTACTTTGGATTCTACTGAATCAACAACTTCAGTAAACAATGCTAATAGGAAAACACAGTGTTAGCCCATCTTAGATCAATATGAAAGGAGAAATGTTCTTTCCTTTTGCAGAGCATCAGCTTAAATTAAAAAGAAAACGAGGATCATGTTACCTGGTCACAGAATTAATTTGTTTTCTGAGGTATGATGTCTTTCATTACCTTTCTTTGTTGTTACTGATACAAGATAATATGGAATACAGAATATTTATGACAGAGGCAGTACTGGTTATATTAACACCAGGGTTAATGTATCAAGAAGTCTGTAAATATTAAAACCCTATGACCACAGAATTGTACTTCTGAGAATCAATACTTAATAAATACTAAATAATCCATACTGAATCCTAATAAAATACTAAATAATCCTCACATTCTGCTGATAATC